TGGTGGCTCCCATGAAGTCGTCGTGGATTTCATCAATGGCGTAGTCGTCATCATCGTGGTAAATTCTGTTCAATGGTTTAGGCGTAGTCGTAGTCGTTGTCGTCGTCGTTGTCGTTGTCGTTGTTGTGGTTGTGGTGGTTAGCAATGGTTGTAAGTCTTTTACTGGAGAAGTGATCCTGGCATTAGCGGTATAGTACGGAACAGGAATATTGGAGCTGTGATTTCTTAGAGCAATTGCAAGGGCACCAAATTCCTTCGACAGGTACTCTTCAAAAATATCACTGAACCCGATCTGTAGGTCACGTTGAATAGTATGTTCAGCGTATGTGAATGATCTTGTCTTCCTTATCCTCTGAAATTCCAGTAGTTGTTTCCATCTGTACTCGGCGTACCGTATCGTCCGTAGAACTGTTAGTCTCGGGTCTTCAGCGACATAGAACTTCCGGCGAAGATCAAAGTCCCTGTTGCTAACATTCCACCTCACAATCTCTTCGAGAACACTCGGCTCTAGTATAGGAGTCGTGGAAAAGTATGGTACGTTCCCTCTCTGAGTAGTCCCGAAAAGTCTCTCTATCAAAAGATCATTCTGGAAAGGAATCAATTCATAAGGAGATCTATTCCCTTCGACAGTGGTGACATATCGTGTATCTCTTCTTCCGCGTCTATACGAACTCCTTTCACGAATATATTGTTGAGGGGAGATATGAGAAGGCAGACTCGGAAATAGGAGGACATGATGGGACGTGGTTAGCGAAAACTTTGAAAAACCACATGTCGCAGAAAGTCTGGCTTGCAGGATGGGATCCGAGTGGAACTCAAAGGCCAATTCGAACTGAGGAATCACCGCGAATCGGCTGGTGACATAAGAGTCGAACGATCCTACAAATTTGTAGGGGCAGAGAGGAGGGCTAGCGATCGGTTCCCACATCACAATTTCTTCCTTCAACAAACAGAATCCATCAGACAGCGTGCAGTTTTGCAAGTTGGCAAGGGAACTTATGACTTGATTACCATCGAAAGAGGCAAGGTCGCCATACTCGAGTGAGTAGATGCTTCGAAGGTAGTGGTTAGTTCCCCATAATGGGAGGCTATGTTCTTCGTCCTCAATCTCGTTGGTGGTGTACACTCCAGGAAGAATTTGTTCCATATCATGGTCATGGACTTTCCCAGTTGTCTTCATCAGCTGACAAAGTTCTCTAGGAACTGACAGACGAAAGCGCTCGATAACTTCTTTTTTCGTTCGTATATAGAGAAAGTTAGTAATGGCCACTTTGACGACGTCTCGATAGCATTTCGTCGCATTCACGCGGAGCGGATCATCGGTCTCCATATAAAGCTGAGTTGAGGCGCGCATCAAGTACTCTTTCTCCGATATGGCACAGTCGACTGGGGTTGGCAATGCGATAACGTTAGCTGATGGGTTCGTGCCGCATATCTGGTATTGCTGTGACATGGCGAGGACGATGCATTGCGTCATAATCAGTGCGACAACGCAAAGGAGGTGAGATGCGTTAAAAGGTGAACGAGTAGATCCTGATGTTGTAGGATACGGGTAAGTGCTGGTACTGGGGCCATCTGGGTTATAGAACTGACTGTTAGGCTGGTTAGGGAAGGGTCCTTGAAAGAAAGGTCTAGAGGGATTGCGTGGTCCGCCTCTAAAGAAGTTCCTTCTTCCACGGTAGTTGGTTCCACGAGGTTGGTTATAAGGCTGGTACCTTTGGAAAAATGGCCTGGAACTTCCTCTAAATCCTCCCCTTTTCCGTTGTTGAGGAGGGGTCGGCTTCCGCGCTTGCTGGATCTTCAGAGCGTTCAACTCACGCTCAAGTCTTTCGATCTTATCATCTGCTATCATGGCGTTGATGGTTTGTATGGTATCCTTATCTTCTTGCCTTTCCTGCTGGAGGATACGGTATTCTTTTTCAGCCGATGCCACAACAGTGTCAAAGTCCTTAGCTTCAGGCAAGCGTCGCATAGCCTTCCGTATCTGAGGATTCAAGCCTTTGATGAAAAAGTCAATTGCCATTTGGGAAGCCATTGCCTTATCCATTCCTTGGAAGGCAACTTTAGTCTTGTTGTAGATTTTCTGGGCAAACTCGGCAACACTATCCTTTCCTTGGGTGATGTTGTGAAGTTCGTCGCGCAGATTACTCAGCAGAGCATCGCTCTTGAACTTCTTGGCCAAGGTAGTTGTCAAATCCTTCCAGGTCATGGTATCTGCCGCCTCCAGGTTATTGTACTTCATGCGCGCAGGACCAGTAAGGTAAAGCGGGAGTATGATTTTAGCAAGATCAGGAGGGATATCGAAGCGGTAGATGAGATCCGTGTATTCTTCCAGGAATTCTTCAAAGGTACGGTCTCCAGTACCTGTGAACTTGGGCACTCTATCACCCAGAAGCTTACATGCTTGATACACAGAGAGGGCTCCCTCAGGTGGCTGCCCTGGACGAGGAGGGTTGTTTTGTTGTTGACCTGTACGTTCACCTCTTCTTCCTTTCTTCCGATCCTCTTCGGGATTCTGCTGACTTGTAGACTGCTGGTTCTGATCTTCCATTCTTTTAAGTCTTTCTCGTAAACGTCTCTCACGTTCAGTAATTTCTTTCGGGGAGTCCAACTGAGGGGATCGCGTAAAGGCGAGGTTTGGGTTCTTAGTGGACCGTAGCTTTTGCGCAGAGAGGAGCGAGGACAGGGTTGAAGCGAGAGAGATCCGAAAGAGAATTCGAAAAGGTGTTTGGTCTTTTTTTTTGAAAAGGAAAGAATGAGAGGATGGATGAATATGAGTGTGAGAGATAACACTGCAATGAAATCACAATGTTATTGGAGCACTCAGTTAATTGCCGTTAGTGTAAGTGTATAAGGCTCACCTCGGTATACGACGATAGGTTGCAGTAGCACGTCTAGCACGAGTATGGTTTGTGGCTAAGGAGGCGTGGCTGGCGGTCTCTGAAACGCTGATGTTAGATTCGACAAATTTATTTCTTTGTACTATTGCAAGTCTAGTCAGCACGCTGCTGCTCGCGGAGTACAAAGCCATTAGTGGGATAAGCAGTGGCAAGTGTTACAGTTGCTTTGTCTTCGCTCGGGGGTGTGGCGTGGGCAGCAAATTTATATCGCTTCGCTATCGCCAACTGTTCGTGATTCGAGGATCTCGCACTGTACAAAGGACATATGGGGAATCATCGAGAGCGCGGCAGCAACTGTTTCATCCTCACTCGGGAGCGCGGTACAATTAATTTTCCAGCGCATTTGCTGCCTGCGGGACAAAAGCGAGCTTGCACTTACAACGGCGCCCTAAGTAGGTCGGCAGCTGTTCGTGCGAATGCGTGGTCTAGTTGCATTTGCAAGGATTCATAAATTGTAACCTTACCATTATCATTCAAGAGATGGCAGAGGGATCCACACTTGTTCGATTGCTATGTGCACATCTCTGTGATTTTCACGGAATTTCAGCATGGGCATATAGAGGTATTTGAGTTTGGCGTGAAGGAAATTCTTGTAATGGTACGCGTGACTGTGAACAGGGGAGCGCGGACAGTGGCAAGCTTTGGCGAAAACATTATGAGATTTATGCAATTGGGGCATTCCCTGCAGTTTCTTCCCCGTAGCGCCATTGACAAAATCTTGCACGAAAGTAAGAGTATCAAGATATTCCTGGATCTGTTGGGGAGGAACACGATAGAGCGATTTTCCAAACGCGACTTCCAAGAGAGAAGAGAGACGCGCGAATCTTTTTGGTCTGTCTCCTGAATTTCGCGCAAAAGGAATTAAGGCTAGGTCTTTCAGCTGCTCTTTTACTAGCTCTGGGGTGAATTCAGAGATGTGCTTCTGGGTGTGGATCGCCATGTGTCCGTTAACGCACGTGTAAGCCATGGCACGAAGAACAGTTTCGGCCATACCTAAAAGCCTGAAAAGTTAGGATCGGATAACGCGAACGACGTATTACGGCATACGAAAAGCGAAACAGAGATTTACCTTACACACACAGAATACTACAATGATCAAGACGCTCAGATAAAATATGTTCCTAACAATACCCGCGAAGTTGAGCGTCTACCTGGCCAGGTTTTCTCTCTCGCTCTGCTACAATACCCGTTAGAGCTTTGCTCCTAGTCACTGTACTGTACATCTTGTTCGGCAGTCTTCGCGGTGAAAGATGAGCGAGTGTGACTTCTGTTCGCCGTTTTCCTCCTATAAATTACAAATAGCGAAAAGCACTATCGACTAGCAGCGAAGTCGTGTTATCCGATAATCCATGGAAAATTACAAATTAGCGGAGCGTCAGTTTCAGTTCGACGATGGTGGCAGAAGTTTCTGCTGGCCCGGGATTGCAGAAACATCTCGCCGGAACCTCCATATAACGCCCGCGGTTCCGCATACACGTTACAACTTTATTTTGACAAGCGGACGTCATGTATTCAAAATTTCTACACCACTTCTTCCCTTCCAGGCTTCCATTTCGTGCTGATTTTCTCCTCTCCCAACAGTTTCTAGAACTATATTGGCCACACCTTTATCTTCAAAAAAAAAGCACTAAAAGCAACACACATAACTATACTACAATCACGATTACATATAAGGCAGCAAATATGTATGAGATATAGTCACATAAGATAAGTGAGGTACAAATACATGAGAAAAACTGAGATGGTTATTACCCGATGACTCATCTCTGCACTACTAACCGCCCAGCCCTTTCGGCGGCGTAGGATGGTGTGCCATCCCTTGAGGCGGGGGAGCTGCTTGCCCTGCAGCCGGATCTCTCCGCTGCAAAGCTGAGGCTCCGCCTCCAACCTCGGCTGCACAATTGCACTTTGGTGCATGATGTTTTTTAGCGGGCACCACACAGTACCACGATTTTACGAGAATTAGTAAGGCACATAGGTGGTAGAGCCAGTGCGAACCTCTGCGAAGCAGAGGTGACGAACTGGTTTTCATATACAGCTGCGCTTTCAGCTCGATTATATGGACAGCAGAACAGTGTGAGTATCTATTATTTTACTCACATGCTAGTAGCCATAACATTATTCGCCATGTTGTGAGGAGGATGTGCTTAAAATGATGTAAACTTTGAATATTCAAATCCCTGCTTATTTTTGGTTGCCAAGTTCATTCCAGGGTGGAGTAGTGAATATAGTTTCATTTCATTTTCATTCAATGCGCTGGAGCCATTCCATAAAAAATGAAAAGATAAAGCATAGCTTTGACCAGTAATAAAGTACAGCCCAGTCTTGACTAGTAAAGGGCCGGGCATACTTCACGCGGTTTCAATCGCGATACGATTTGACAGTTCGCCAGAAGCCTTCAGACCCAACCCTATCAAACTGCACATGCACGATGTGTATAACATACGTAGATTGATAAAATGCCCTACCTTCTGAGCATTTAAAATGTGCTTACAAGGAGTTATGGACAGTTGGAATATTGCCAAATCGCGTCGCGACTGAAATCGCGTGAAGTATGCCCGGCCCTCAATAAAGCGAAAAGAACAGGGATCTAGCTTGCGCTAACACTCTTATACCCTGTCACTAGAGACTTGAGCATGAAGTACGATAACTCTCTGGGATGGTAAGGCACGTTTGACTTTCCCCCTATAAAACCATCCAGCATCCATGATCTCTGCGGATTTATCATCATGTTCGTTTCAGGACGAATATAGTGCCGCGCCCGAAAAGGAAGGGCAGGGAAGACAGCAACGTTATGTATAAGCTCCTGCAAGACGAAGGCGGTCGGTTCGATGTGCAACGCGGTTGCGACATGGCTGCGTCACAGCCACGTCGCGCCTCGAACCAACCGCCTTCGTCTTGCAAGAGCTTATAGTTTGTTCATGTGAAAGTATGATTGTGCCAAATCTTCTGTTCGTTTTTCAATCGGTCACCAAAACTCACAAAGCATTGGCCGACAAATGACTTAGCCATTATCTAATTGATTTCATCTTCTTTATGATATTAGCTGTTTTCTCTCTGATCTATGCAGCGCGATATGGCCTTGGCTCTTTGAGCGGCATGACAGAATCGCCAATCCCCAATTTTCAAAAAAGATTTTTACCCTGGCTTTGCAAAAAAAGCTTAGTAGCTATTGTGTAGAATGTTTTCAACGTCTATAATTTATAATTATCTGGGAAACCCCGAACTTTTAGGCACGTATAAGGCATAGGAGATCGAAAATTCCGAAAAACTAATTTTTCAGATAATATTAAACTGTTTTGCATAAGTAATGTTCAGAGGATTGGTCTACCTCGTCGCCGCGCGATTTACAATTGCTATAATCTATCATGACTTATAATAACGGGCTAAGGGTGTTTACGTGTTTTTGTGTGTGTGTCTGTCTGTCTGTAACGAAATTGCAAACAAGGTATCAAGTCGCAGTTTTTTGCACAACACACACTGCCAACATCTAGATTCACCGTGCAAAAGCACGGGCGGATTCAATGAGTAGGTCCCTCAAAAGTGCACCCCAAATGTGACCACTCAACTTCTGGCGCGCAGAGTGGGTCCGTATCACCACTTTTTGCAGAGTTGTGGTCATGTTTGGCAAGTTAATGTGCAAGCCATGAAGTTTAGCCCAAAAGTGACCAAAAGCCAATCTATAAAAACGTCGCCAGAACAAATTGATTATGTGAATAGCGGGTTTGTTTTGGAAAATTTTTGCACAGGGATGTAGGTCGCGATGGATATTATCTTTATGGTGACTACCAAGCCATGAAAAAATGCAAAAGTTTTCTAAATCTGCATTTGTTCTCAATCTTCCAAATTTTCATACACACAAAATACCGATCTCACACAAAAAAGCTTTCGGAATGGATAGTTGTTTACGATTTATTCGTGAAGGTAGGCATTGCGCGGTAAGTTCCAAAGCCATGTTATGCGAGAATGAGTGGGGCTTACAGATAGGAGGACCAGTGCGAGCCTCTGCGAAGCAGAGGTGACGCACTGGTATATATATAAAACTCAAACTTTGTAAGTGTGTTCGTTCATTTGTTCGTTCGTTATAGAAACGTATGCGAATGAACCGATCCAGCTGAAACTTCGCACACATATGTATTCGACCCCGGAGGTGGTTTAGCGCTACTTTTTGCGGAGATTCGCTGGGCCATTCTATTGATTTATTGACTTTTGGCATAAGAATGAATTCTCAACATTGGCTAACAAGTCAATTCTATGATTTGATGTAAACAATAGCAGTAGAGTTCATTCGGCTTTCGCGGTAGGAAGGATGCAGTAATTCAAGACGAGCCTACAGCGGGTGAGTTACTTTGATACAGGAAACCCTTGCAGCGCAGCATAACGGCTAGGTGGGAGGGGGAGGGGGGAGGGGCCGGAGCAGGGACCAGGTGACGTGATCCGGGCTACACCGGGAAAATCAGCTAGTTGTTCATAACTCTCCTTAGGCGCTACTTTGTAAGCAAAATTCGGCATGTACCCTTTATGTACAAGTGCTATGCGCCTATGCACTTTAATTCCATACGCGGCAATTTTGCGAACATCTGACAAGTTGCCAGATCGCGTATCGCCGCGAGAGACTGTGAAAGAGGATGGTATGATCCGACCATATGTCTGGACATCGCCGGAGAGGAGAACGCTGTAACATCAAAGCTTTACTTCACAGTGCTGTAGTAAATTGGCCTTCGTATCTCCACTTTTGATTAGTTTTCCTATCCATCGCTATGAGCACAAAAGAATGCTTGTTACAAATAAACTGCAATTCTATTCCTGCGTTCAGCGTGGAAACTACGCAGAAATTAATTCGGAAAAAGGTTGAAGGTTTAGAGGCGGAAGGAATCTAATATCTCCTCTAAAACGAAGGCGGTCGCCCAAATGGGTTGAAAGCACGCAAGGCTGCGGCGCGCGGACAATTGTCAACCACAGGGCGCGCGCACGCTTGGTCAGCGGTCATCCACGTTAGCGTGCGCGCGACCTGTGGCTGACAATTGCCCGCGCCGCGTGCGCGTCATCCTTACATGCTTTCAACCTATTTAGGCGACCGCCTTCGTCATAAAGCAGATATTACTATCCATTCAATACTACTCCCACTAAAATACATTTCTATTCTTCATTAGCTTCTCTGCATGTGTTTTCTTTCAAAATCAAGCAGTCGTAAATTTCTAACTTCTAAAAAGGTTTCCAAACAAAAAGATCAATCTGTCTGCAATTGCTTAGATAGAAGAAATTTCAAGAACATGAGTCCTTCAGTACGCCACAAGTTCTTACTTAACCCTTACCGTTTTGCTTAATGCATTACTGAAAGTTGCGCTTAAATTAGCAAGCTGCGATGGGCTGACTACACCATCTCATGCTCGGCCGCACCACTGGTGCCGAGCATGATATGATGCAGTCCGCCCAGCGCAGTGTCTTGCTTGAAAAATGGAAGGGTGCGATTTGTACTCGTGTAATTTCCAGTGAAAGAGAGAAACCCAAACTACAATCAAATCGTAGCTCGGCCGCCGCTTGAAGTCAAATAGTGGTTTGATTTTGATGCCCGATGTGGCCCGGAGGCACACTGGTTATCAATTTGAGGCGAAAAGTAAAGGGTTATCATTGCAGGATGCTGGAAATGTGTAGTGGGATTTGCCAGTAAAAAGCTAGTTCTTCTGTAATTCAAACTGGCCGTGTCAAAAAAAAAGTTAGCTCGCGACTCTAAGCCAATCGACCAACGAAATCTTTTCGCTCACCGTTACACAGTTCATTAATACATGCCCCTCTTCCCTCTTTTCCCCACACTTTCATCTCACCTTTGACGGCAACACAATTTTACATTCACAAGGGCCATTTCTGAAAAGTGTCATGGCTAATCGGAGATGAACTCAGAAAAAATAGGTTGAATGCAATTTCCGAGAGAGGCGTTTTTGATAATGGGAACAGCGGAAGTGAAAAAAAAACAATCACCAGTGAGCATCAAGCTTGTCCATTTGTTGGGGTTAGCAAGTTTGACATGACTTAGCTGTCAAAAGTTATGTATGCATTAAGGTACCCAATATTAAGTAAAGAGGCTTAATCAATTCCGTGAGAAACACTAGACTAAAAAAATTAGTCGCCGTCTTTATATTACTCGCATAATCACTGACAACTTTTCAAAACTAAACGTGAAACAGTCGCCTTTACTCTGCCACTTTGAGTTGGATTGAGCAAGGAAGACTTTTACAAGTTTTCTTGTTACTGTCTCCATTCCGCATGGTTTACATGAAAAGATAATTTTAATATAGTTAGGAATGATGTTTTACTGAAAATAAGTGCAAAAAATCGTTCGATGAGTGTTCCGGTGTCAAAAGCAGCACCTCTTCTATTTAAGGTGTATAAAAATTTCACTCGTTCTCTTTCATTCTACATGAAGTCTGCGTCAAAGCCGGCGAGCGTTGGCTTCGAGGTTTTTTGAAAACGAAATCTCTCGGGATATCGCACAATTATTCAAGTTTTCCTTTATTATGAAAAGGGATAATCGCTATAGAGTTCCAGTAAAAATAACTGTGTGTTCAATGTAAAGTTTATAGCAAAAAAAAATTCAAAAAAGTACTGCTCTAGTCATCAAAGTCACAAAGAATACTTTTAGTAAGGACACTCTTTTCTCTGCGCCTTTACCCGCAACAGCTATTTTACATAGAAAAGAGAAATGATTATTGTCTTAACTCTCCCCTCGCATCATTAAACACTCGCTTAATCGTATATTGGAGCGCAGCTAACTGACTTTAGTCCATCAATCAACAATAAAAGGAGACATTAACTAAGTGCGGTCCTTTCATTAATGATGGATTTTGAGCGGTAAATTAGTCCAAGCCAACAAGGCCCTCAAACCAACTGGGTTGGTTTCGTGATGGTCTAAAAACTGTCAAATTCGATAACAGGTATAACGACACATAAGTTTCCAAAAAGTTTTACATAGTGTATTTAGTTGTTATATCGCGTACATATAGTTCAAATTTGATGTTATAAGTTTGACTGTGCCTTGATAGCAAGCCATTTGCTTATTTTGGCATCATGAATTTTGCGCGCTTGAAAGGAAGAACACATTGGAGCATGATTTGTACTAACTTG